GGCCTCCCAGAGAGCTAGGATTACAGGCGTGAGCCACCGCGCCCGGCCGTTGACTAACTTTCTTAAAACACTCTCATAATAAGCAGATGTTATCATTTTTTGGCTTTCCAGAAAGTCAACAAGCAGAATGCCTTGAGCATGCCAAAAAACTGTTGCCATGACCTTTGCTCTTGACCAGTCCACTTTTGCTTTGACTGGACCTCTTCCACCTCTTGGTAGCCATTGCTTAGATTGTGCATTGTCTTCAGGATTGTGCTGGTAAAGCCATGTTCCATTTTCTGTTACACTTCTTCAAAGAAATGCTTGAGGACCTTGATCCCACTTGTTTAAAATTTCCATTGAGAGCTCCTGATCTGGGCACAACAGTTTTGGCACTTACTGAGTGGAAAGTTTGTTCAACTTTAATTTTTCATTCAGAATTGCGTAAGCTGAGCCAATTGAGATGTCTGTGGTGTTGGCTATTGTTTCTGCTCTTAATCGTCGGTCGTCTTCAATTAGGGCACTAGTGAGACTAAGTTTTTTCCTTGGAAATTGATGCGGATTGTCCAGTGCCGTGAGCTTCATCCTTGTCATCTTGTCCCTTCTTAAAATCAGTTATACATTTGTAAATTGCTGATTTCTTTGGGGCATTGTCCCCATAAACTTTTTGTAAAGCATCATCGATTTCACCATTCTTCCACACAAGCTTCACCATAACTTTGATGTTTGTTCTTGCTTCAGTTTTAGCAGAATTCATGTTGCTCTTTTCAAACTGATATCTTATCTCTAGTACCTCAGACTAGATCCTGTTCAGACTTGTAACATGTTAGTATGAGTTTATTTTGGTGCAAAAAAATTTTGAAATACATGCTTAGTTTTTTTCATAATGTGCATTTTCCATGAAAATAAGTGGTCTTTTTGAAGACCCCTTGTATGTGTTCTACTGGTTTGTTTTGAGAACTGGCTTCTGTTTATGTTTAACAAAAGCATTGTCATATGTGTAATTAGGAACAGATGATACGTGGTAGGTTTTTTTTTTTTTAAATAAGAATTCCTGAGTCTTCCTCACAAGGAATTGGCAAACTCTTCACTGTGGTAGCCAAAGGAGATTTCTTTGTAGCGGTTCTGGTGTGTTCCTGGGCCACGCTGTTCTGGTCCTCTATAAAACTTCAGAGGATGCTTGGTCTCTACTGCTGTGGTTGCTCAAAGTTTACATAGGACATGGAGTCCTTATTAGTTACATTCCTAAGGACAAAGAACATATTCAGCCAGAGTCTGTTACTACTGAGGGACCTCTCGTTTTGCACTTAACAAGCTCTTTGTTGGGATTCTTTTCTGTTTAGCTTTGTACCCCACACAGGTGTTCTAGCTTTTTAGTGGGTCTTATAACTTCCAGCTTCTGTCTGAGAGTAAAATAGATCCTCCTTGCATCTCAATCCTTCTGGGTTCGTTGTCCTTCCTGAAATAACATTCTTTGGAAGTGTCCCCGCCCCCTGAAGCAGAGTCCAGACTGAGGCAGAAAGTTTTCTTATCCTCTCCGTTAATGAAAAGATTTTTTTTTCCACCTAGTCTGAGGGTCAGCAAACTATGGCTCCTAGACCCAATCTGTCCTGCCACCTGGTTTTGTAAATAACATTTTTGAGGAACATACTAGTTTGCATATTGTCTGTGGTGGCTTTCATGGATGGTAAAGTTGAGTAGTAGTGACAGAAACCTTATGGCCCTCAAAGCCAAAATTGTTTCCTTTCTGGCCCATTTCAGAAAAGGATCTACATTCCTGTCCTAGTCTACCCCTTGTTTGAGAGGCCCAGCCTTCTGCAGTGGTTTCAGTTTTAACTTTCCACCTTCCGAGGGTCTCATTCTTGTTATTGTCACTCGTGTGGTGGTTAAAGATCAAGCCTCTTGGTTATTTTAGCTCCTGGCTTATCACTCTGAGTTTCAACTTCCCTTATTTTTATTTTTGCCATTAGTGGTGTTGTTTACTGGGAACATCAATCAGAGTCTATGTAGTTTGCAATTAAGGAAAGGTACTGTTGTACTCCATAAGCTGTTTGAAGTCCGGTTCTGCCTTCTCCTGTGTCTCCAGCTCCTAGCCTAATGTGTGGCATGTAGTAGCCATTGGCGTTTTCCCAAAGAATCATAGCAGAACCCCAAACAAGAACCGTATCATTTGATGCTGCCAGCTGTGCAGGTACCCCAGCTTCCCAACCCTCGTGCCCCGTGTAGGCCTCAGATTCAGCACTGGACTTTGGCCTGTGTGAGGCCCTGTGCTGCCTCCCCTCCGTCCTGAGGTGCTTGGCCTACCCTGCTCTGCCCAGACGGCCAGGGCTTGTCTTGGTGTACACAGGAGTGAAGACTGCAATGAGGACTGCAGCAAGGAGAGCAGGAAAGTAGACTTTCTTCCTGGGAGGCCCTTCCTGAGCTGGAAGTGTGCTCACTGTTTAGGTTCATAACCCTGCCTCGTGGGCAAATGTGGGCCAGTGACTGTCCTGACTCTCTACATTTGCAGTTCTTCCCTTTAGGAGGTAAGTGGAAAGGCAGATACATGGGAACATGTCCTTTCACTAAGTAGACACTCAAAAAATATTTCTTGAATTTAAAAAAGCAAGAGTCTTTATTTATTTAAAGATTGGCTGGGCAGCACTGGTATCTGTGGTCTCTGTATATTATACCTCAGGGGTCTGTTTCACTTTTAAGCTAATCCTGGTGTATCTGTGTTATCTGTATATGTATTACTTTCCCTCTTATATAAGTGGTTGCTTTTATTTCTAAAAGGATTCACAATGAGATATTTAGAAATAGGCAGTTCTTATAGTTTACTTAAAAAATTTTTTGATTTACCTAAACTGCAAGAAGAGTTTAGGGTCTCTTCCTTTGTGCTTCTTAATCATCTTGGCATCCATCACACCCTGGCTTGTAAATGCCTGTTGTCATTTCTTCTTGAGTAATCTGTAAGTCCCTTCAGGACAGAATCTGTGTCTTCATCACCTTTGTATCTGGTTCCTAGCTCAGTGCTTAGCGTGTATAAGACACTTAATAAATATTTGCTGAATTCAGTTGAATAAAGAATTTTTATTCTATGTACAACTTCCTCAGGGGTAAATATATTGAAAAGTACTTCTGTATTTCTATTTTAAAATCATTGCTAAGGTCTGCATCTTTAATAATTTAAAAAGGAAGTCAAGATATGCCTGAGAATTTACCTCATTTTCTTCCTAAAACACACACGCTAACATATGCATGTGCGTGTGTATGCGTATACCACAAAATCAAACCCCAGACTGCCTACATTAAACAAAGAATCTAAAGGCCATTTTTTACTGTAACATTTGTCTGATTGTAAGTTGTGTTTTTAATTTAGGGAGATATGTTATTAGAGTCAAATGAGGTCTGTGGATCAGTAAACATTGAGAGTTAGTTTCTGGTTTATTATCAACTACTTACCGTACAGCCTTTGACATCTGAGTGAGACATAAATTAAAACAATTAAATGTAATTTTTGTTATAGTAGGTGTTATCTCTTTCTGTAATGGATGTAAAAAACTAATTATGAATTGTTAGAAGTTTTTCCTCATAGTTTGGACTGTTTTGTCTTTAATTTGATTAGAAAAGTATTCATGAACACATGTGTCAGTGCAGTTCCAGGTGCTGTGGACAGAACACAACTGAGAAACAGAGCCTCTCCCTCAGGAGCTCATGTTTTTCTGTGTATGTGGTTGTGTGTGTCAGATGTTGGTAAGCTCTAGGAGAAAAAACAAAATGGTAGAAGAGAAATAGAGAGCAGAAGTGTGTGAAATATAATGGTATTGGGGCGTCAGGTGAGACTGGAGCAGAGGCCCGCGTGGAGTGAGGGAGCTGCCCAGCAGGTATGGGGAAGAGCAAGGCAGGTGTGCTGGGGAGTTCCAGGGGGGCTGCAGGTTGGGCTGGGGCAGGGTCCGTTCATGGCGTGGTGGGAACTGAGGCCAGAGAGGTGGCAGGGGCCCTTGTAGGGAATAAGGCCATGAGACAGGAAGCTCCCGGAACTCTCTGAGCCCAGGAGCAATGAATGTCATCTGACTCATGTTTAGGTGGATCACTCTGGCTAGCTACTAGGTGGAGAATGGTATGTAGGGTATGGTGACAAGGGAGGCCCACTGGGAGACCCCCATGGTTATCTAAGGGTAAGGAGATGGTGGTCTGGACCAGGGAATGGGCAGTGGTGGAACTTTGGATTTTTTGAAATGAAGCGAGAGAGAAAAGTGAGGAGTGGAGTGTGACCCCCTCCCAAGTAAAGCAGTTACCGTTATTCTGATTATGCTTTGGTTTATTATTTGCTTTTTTTTTGGATTCCTTAATAGAACCCAGGTTAAGTGTGGCTCCTGAAATGGATATTATGGACTACTGCAAAAAAGAATGGAGGGGAAATACGCAAAAAGCAACATGTATGAAAAAGGTACGACACAGAGGTGCACATATTTCAGTCTTTCAAATAGTCTATCATAAGTTACTTAATACGTCATTTTATATTTTTAGATATTTGTTAAGATGACTACTATTAGACTTTGTAAATACTGGTGTTCTAATTTTAGAGATGAGGAAACAGACTCTAAAGGGACTTGTTTAGAGTCACGGTATTAATATAGAATTAGCATCAGTTATTCAGTAACTTAATTTCTTTGAAAAACATACAAATGACTCTGCTATTCAGAGTTGGGCCAGCCATTGGTTGTCCTCTTGGGGTCATTTGGGAATGCCCTTTTGGCCTAGAATGATAAAAGCCTCAGGGATGCTTCAGGCTGATTCTATAACCCCACTTTCCACGGCACCCTGGCTTTGGTTACATACCTTCCAGTTCTAGGGGCCTAGAACCCTTCTACATTCCCTACATAGGGGGATCTGGAACTTCTTCCTTCATTTAGGGCTTCCCAGGAGCTGCCCCCTCCCAGTCCCATTGCATAGATTAGCAACAGTTTCCAAGGCTGTGGGATGACAATGAGGACTCCCATGATATGGTCCCTCTGTAGCTATTTGGGCTGGTTGATTGCTCAGCTCAGACACTGTGGCCCACTTACACTACCTGGCTGATTGAGCAGCAGGCCCTGTGGGCTCTCTACCCTCAGATGTATTTCAGATCCAACATTTCTTATTAGTAGGTTGAACCATGTGAAATTGCTACTATTTGACCATTTTTGAGCTATAAAAATGACAGTTTCAACCTAAGTCCACCACCTCTTGTATGTAACCTCTGGGTTATATCTTTTGTTCATTTTTCTCTTGGGATTATTTACATTATGAATTTGAATGTACTTTTTATGTATTAGATATACTGACCTGTCATATTTGATAGAAATATCTTTTAACTTTTTTTTGCTTAGAACTTTATTGTTTAGGATTTAAAAATTTAAAATATTTGAATACATTTATTCTTCTCCCCAGAGCTTGCTTTTGTAGAAAATATTGTTCACCTTTCAGCATGCGCATCAGCTGCCAGTGGGTTGACCCTAGTCAAAATGTAGCTGCCACTTGTAAAGTACTGAGAACAAGTGGCAGCTCTGCTCCCTGCAAGTCTGGTATGTAGACTCTTTGTTTTTTAGGCACTTGTTAAAGAACTTAGTCATGAAATACCTGGGACTCTTAGCTCCTGCCAGAGGTGAAGAATATTTATGCATATGCTGTTGGCTACTGTAGATTTTTCAACCTCCAGCCTTGTATCAAACTAGATAGCCAGAAAGCCAAGTATCTAAACTATATTTTCTCTTCTTCCCCAGAAATGCTTTCACTGACTTGTAATTTTATTTTATAACCTCAGTCTGTTCAAACGATCTGTTCAATTAGTTGATATCTTAGAGTCCACAATTGAAGATGTCTGAGTTATCCAAATATTCCGTATTTTGGAACTCATGCTAAAATTATTCCTTTATGGGTTTAGTTCTAGGGAAAGAAAGATTTAACCTTGCAGTTGGATTTTTTCAGTGATCGGGTAATCAAAGGCGTGTCAGTTAGAAAAGCATCTCTTCAGGACCCATGGCAGTTACTAGAGTATTTCAGGTGCCTCATAACAGCTTTCATCTCAGTTCTGTTTTAGTCCTTATTTACATAATTGTCTGTTTTTGTTTTGGATATTCTTTTGGAGGTAAGTCTATATAAATCCAAATTTAATTTTAAAAAGCCTGATTCACCTCTGAAATAACATGAGTAATTTATGCATTTGGAAAAGTGCAGTTGCAGTTGAATTTACCATTGTAAGTATTCCAGGGTAATTTGGGGTCCATCATAGGGAAAAGGTACATGTTAGTAGAGGTGATTCTGCCTGATGGACCATTATATGCTGCAGTGGTTGGACCACTAAATAAAAATATGACTCTCAAAATTTTGTTATTGGGAAGAAGTACTTTTATATTCATTTAGAACATTATCCTACAACTTGAACCTCAAAAACCACTAATAATGAGGCTCCAGTACTTTGACACGTGAGATGAGGTGGTCTGCATTTCGATGAGGGTGACACTCCTTTCTTTGTGTAAATGCAGGGTAGGAAGTAGGTTTTGAGTGACTATCAAGGAAGAGCAGGATGAGTGAAAGGGCTGACTGGATCTGGGGCCAGTGGGGTTGAGGGACCGCAAAGTTGGTCCCCATGACTATGAAGTATCCGGCTGGATAAGTCAGGGCATCGCACTTACTGGTGGACCAGAGTCACTAGGATTTTATTGTGTCCTTTTTTGGGGTATGTTTCAAAATGGTCTATTTGGATGGCTATTTTTGGGAAACCAAGCATGTCACTGAACATTTTCATTTCCTTGTTTTACTTCCAGACTGAGCAAGAGTGACACTTCAATCCACTTTTTAAAAAAAGTCTAAGAATTATCTAGACATCTCCTAGCATGTAGACTCTTATGTATACGTATATACACACACACCCTCCTTAGAAACTTGGAGTTTTTGTAAATTTTTTAAATATAGAGATATAAACTTGTACATGTCTTTTTTCTTACCTTTTCATTAAAGAGATTAAGGTCAATTTAAATACAGATTAAACCCTTCGAAATGTTGATTATCAGTGAGTGAGTGCTACAACAGTTACTTAGAAAGAGACAAAGGACTCCAACTTTGGGGGTGGCTGCTACTTTAATACTTGGTTATTACTTTGTATGTCTGATCTGTTGCCTCTGTTACATATACTGATATTTTGTGCAGTGCTAATGTTTGTTAATTTCTTTTGATTAATAAAAAGGAACTTGAACATCTTGCATGAAGGACTCAGCCAGTCTTGTTTCCATTTTTCTAGTGATCCTGGGCAGGTATTTTCCATAGGAATGACACTCTCCCTGCTTTCTGAAGTCAGTAATGACCATTTTTAATTCTTTGATACTTTTCCCCAGGGCTATGAGGAGGTTTCTCAGAGATTCACCTCCATAAGGCGAGTCCGTGGTGATAATTACTGTGCACTGAGGGCCACACTGTTCCAGGCCATGAGCCAGGCAGCGGAGCTGCCCCACTGGCTGCAGGACCCGGAGCTCATGCTGGTACGCTGCCGCTGCAGGTTTGAGTCTGCGATGTTTAACATAGTTTTTGTGAGAACACTTCCGTTTTCTGCCCATGGTACCCGCTAGTATTATCTACAATATGATGTCAGCATATGGATTTATTCAATTTTGTGTGGCTGGGATGATTTCACATAGTAAAGTGACCAAAAATAATTGGTATTTCCCAGAAGAGAAAAATGATAAAATTTTTGTGAACAATTCACCTGAATTAGAGAGTAGATGTTTAGAGTTTGTAAAAAGCACTTAGGAACAGTTTGATTTCAATTTTGGTATTAAATATATTAAGTAGGCAATCTGTTTTACTGTTTGAGAACCTGTCAGGGTTTTAGAATACTTATTTCTTCAGTTTTAACTACAATTCAAGAAATTAGTACCCTCTGCGAAGTGTGAAGATTGGCTTATTAGGCAGCTGAACAGCAACACCGGGAGAGAGATGATTAACATCACGTGGAGAGAGGCTTGCAGGGGAAGCAAGAGAGCTCTTCCAGGCTTGGCCCTCTTTAGTGTTTGAACCTGCCGTCTGCCACATGGTAGAGATGCACTGGGAAGTCATGTGTCTTAGTGTCCCGACACAGATAAAGTCACATACTTTTTGGATGAGAGAATATCCTGGAAGATTTTGGTGGCAGGAATGATTGATTGGAAATGACAGTATGACATTAGTTGGAAGAAAATTGAAAGTCTTGTGCTTAAATTAGAAAAAACCCCAAACCCAGAAGTGTTAGCTGTTGGAGATCTGCCTAACAGTAATTTATGAAAGGAAAAAAAAGATGTCAGAGGTTTAATTGATTGCAAGTTGCAACCTCCCCACCGCCCACCATGAGCCTGTGTGGAATGTGATGGCAGCAGTAACAAAGCTCTGACTGCATTTTAAAAGGAATGCTTCTGAGAATCAGACAGTGGCAGCCCTTCCTTGAACTGGGCTGGTCAGAGCCCATCTTGAGGACTGAGTTGCACTCTGTGCCTGTATCCTCATCAGCAGATGGGAGTGTGACCAAGAGGGTTCATCTCATTCTGGGTGCATTTGGCGGACCTGGAGTATTTGACTTGAATAAAGACTTTTAGAGGAAACTTGTTGTTGGCTGAGCTAGTTAGAGGCCTTATAGGTGGACAAGAGATCACCTGCTCCAGAGGGCAAAACCAAGACTGGTGAGTGGAGGATACTGCTTGTCTGTTGCATAATAATTTTATAAACCAGTATAAAATCAGCACACCCGTATCAACTGTCAAAACAACATCTGGAACTAGGCCCAGTGGTACACACCTGTAGTCCCAGCAACTTGGGAGGCTGAGGCAAGAGGATCTCTTGAGCCCAGGAGTACAACCTGGGCAACAAACAAGACCCTGTCTCTCAGAAAAGAATCTAGGAAAGATACTTTCTTCTAAGCAAAGATGTATGTCATCTTAAGCAGGTTTTTCAGTATTAGCTTATTTTTTTCTTATAGAGGCAAAAGAAATTGATACACTAGACTTTTTTTCCTTTGCAAATGATGTCATTTATTAATAGTAAAATATTTCCAAATTGTTGGTCAGTTGGCAAAAGCATGCCTGTGGATAGAGATAAGACCCCGCTAGAGAAACAAACAGTGATTTTACTGTCTTTGCTTTGTTTCAAGTTCTGTACTTGACAACCATAGTTTAATTTCCAGATTGTGACATAAGATCCTCCTCAATTTTAGGCTCAATTTTCCTTCTGAGTCTTTACTTTTAAGGAGCTATTTAGATTTATGGACTTAGTTGACATTGAATTTGAATTTTTATACTTTTCGAGAAGGTCTGGTGCAGATAGTGTCCCAAGTAATTACAAATATAAATATGCCCTAAAAAAATAAAGTTCAATGTCCCTTTTCTTTTGCTAAAAGGATACATTTGGATAACATCATCTGCCAAAGTAAAAATAGTCTAGGTAGATTGTGTTCCGTGTCTTATCAGTATTATTAATAGAGTATGTCACATGTGTGAGTGGTGGGGCTTTAAGGTGTTTTTTCTGACTTAATTTGTGTAATGTGAAAATAGTTTTTAAATTCTCAAGTGTACTTTCCAGTTTCTTCCCTTTTTATGTGTCTCAGCCAGTATATTTTTCTCTTGGGAGTACGATCTAATTAGTTGTTCACAGCAGTATTATTTTTGTCATCTAACTTTTATTGAATGTCAAGAGTCCTGTGTCAAAGGAAAAACACATCGTACCTGTTAGTATTGACATTTATTAAACTTTGGTTCTTCTAAATATCAGCTGAAGAAACGACTTTGTTCTTTTTGTTCTTTTCTTGCTCTCATCTAGCTAGAGGACTCATCCTCGTGTTGATGTTCCAGTCCCCAGCAATTTCACGTGATTTGAACACTTTTGTCACACAGTCTGTTTTGTTGTATTGCTTCTGAAACGTGACCAGGTGACAGATTCAGCACATGCTTCGACTTTGAGGGACCAGTGGAGGAGGGAAGGGATTTACAAGCATAGTCTGGTTGTGTTGGCCAGACACTTTTGAACCTTCTCCCAGGCATTCTGCAGACCCTCTTGTGGGTGCCTTTCTATTCCTGATCTCACTCTGGCCCCACCACCTGCCTTCTCCTTGGGAGGTTCACTCTGACAGGGCCTTTGATGAGTGAGCAGCTTTGTGTCTCAGCGTGACTGCAAGAAGTCAAGGTTAGAACCATTAGTTAGTTGTATTTGCTTCTATTTGCAGATTGAGAGATTGTTCCCTTAGAACACGATTTGGTTTCAGGATATTAAAGGGAAATAGGGGAGCTAAACTGAGCGACCATCCCCTTCATTTAAAGGGCTTAGTAGAAGAGACCCTAAGCTTCCTTTGTGCTGGTGCCCACTTCTCTGGCCTGCTCTGTTCCCTGCCTGCGAGGTGAACTTTGTCCTTACTACCCCTCCTCACCGTTTACCCACCCGCTTATCTCCTGTCACCCTGCCTGAGCTTCCTGTTGTTGTTTCTGTGTCTGTCCAGATCCCAGTCTCTGTGCTTGACTACCATCTGGTCATCTGACCCTGACCCCAACCACAGAGATGGCTTGGTCTGGCTATTCTTAAACTTGGGACAGCGTCTTGGTCCCTGAGAAGAGGTGTTGTTTATAGCAGGGGTCCCTTGGTTTCCATGTTCACTAAGTTTTAGTGAACAGGTGTGACAGTGATAACATTTGCTTAGAGTAGGATAGACTATATAATCGGAGCTCTTTTTTATGAGTAGTTTGGGGGATGACACATATTTGTTACTTGCTATCTTTATCATGATGTCAAGAATTACACACATTTGCTGGAGAAAACAGGATGTTTTATAGTTTGGTCACAAATGAAATGACACCTAAGCTAATTACCTACTTTATTCTTAAATACTTCCAATCACTGTTTCTTGTTTAAATCTTGTTTCTTGCTTAAATCTCACTTATTCTAATAGAAATCTGGTCTCTGTGCTTAGTAGAAAAGAATGGCTATTTACAAGTGTTCTGTGTGTTAAGACCCCTGAAAGCACTTAAAGTTATATTCACATTTTTCTTCTGTGTAAGTAATTCCAACTCCATTATTATTTTCTAATAGTTTCTTTTTCGTGCCTTATTGCTTTGGGCTTTCTCTAGGTAGGATTTCCACTGTGGAAGTACACAACCCTGAACTGGATCGCTCTACCAACAGTTTGACCAATGTGTGAAAGGCGCGAGGAAACTGACTTGCATTGTGTTTCACTCTGTGTAGTTAGATCTTTGGGGTCTCCAGAGTAATTCAGTCGAGTATTGTGCCTGATTTTTAGATAACTGTGTAATGTCACACGATGCTCAGCTGGTCTTCTGGACTTCCCTTCACCTCATTTCCCATCTCACATCTATGTAGTGCTAGCATTTTCTGCTCAACTGTATTAATAGTTCTTTGTGCCCGGTTGTAATTTCAGCTTGTTGCCACTTGAGGGCGTGTTAGGTTCTGGTAATAAATGCGAGACTGAATTGAGAGTTTTCACAGCAGGAGCTGCCCACGTGTGGCCGAAATACAGGACAGTGTGGGCACAGAGCTGGGCTGGTGCAGCTCTTAGAAGGGTGGTCATTTGTCATCCTAATAAGATGAGGACGTGACCGCTCCTCCCCTTAGTGGGTGATGTAGATTGCCATTGCTGTGTTACATTGAAGAGTAATTTACATCCCTGTTGTGTGGTTCTGTGTTTTGTAGAAGTGAAACCACCCCAATTTCACACAATTGCTACACATTGAGAAGGTGCAACGGGAATTACCTACCATTCAGGAAAGGGTCTTCTATGTCTTAGATTCCAGTAGAACTGAACATACGGCCTCATTTAAAACTGTATTTATAACCGCAAAACTTAAGTTTGGGTTCCTCGTAGGATGCTGTAGGCTTTAATTATTCTTTAATGATCTTTTGACTTGGAGGTGAAATTTTTTTCCTTTCTAAATTTTGTAACAGTGAAGTGACATGCCTGTGCCCAGCCTCATTATATGATTTTTCTCCTGACACACCCAGGACTGTTGGGAGAGTCTGACTCTTCCCATGCTGTCGTCAGTCAAGTTGTGCCTCAGCTTGCCTTTCATACTGCAGATTCTAGTGATAATTAGGGGGAAACAAAATAACACATACTCCAGGAGGGGAAAAAAAGGAAAGCAGAAATGTAGTGTTCAGGAGTCACTTCTTTCATGAGCTTTGTGTGTGGTGACAGCTCCCTTAACCCCTCCCTGCTGCTGCTTCTTAGTTGTATTTTTTTTTGTACAATGTTGATTGGGCATTAAACTAGATAAATATTGTTTCTTTGAATGTTAAATCTTTGAGTATGTGTGTTAATATTATTTAACAAAAGATCTCTTTCTTCCTTTTCTAGTGGCTTTTAAAAATATCTGATATTAGATTTTATTTTCCTAATCAGGGAAAGAGCAGGTTTGACTTTACCCTGTACCATCTCACATGGCTGGAAGTACCTTCCCGAGCCACGTGTTAGGTAGTGGTGGGGAGGTGATGGTGGTTGGTGTGAGGACACACTGTGGCCATGGCCTCACCTCATCTGTACAGTTGCTGTGGAATGTCCCTGGCCTTGGTTGGAGTCCCACAGGGTAGATTGTGCCTTTGTGTCTAGCCAACAGCACCATTTCCTCCAGTGGCCCTCCGAAGAGTAATACTTTCTAAGTTCCTAACTTCCAGATTTAGGTCCTCCATCCTAAACCCACGTGACAGATTTGCAGAAATTAATTCTGGAAACAGAAATAGGTTTTATAGGCTTTATGGTTTCTTACAGCTTGGATCGTGCAATGGATTTCTTGGAATATTAACACCTCTTTATCTCTTTGTTTCTTGATGTTCTAGTTACCAGAAAAACTCATAAGCAAATACAGCTGGATCAAGCAATGGAAACTTGGACAGAAATTTGTTGGGAACAGTGAGGACCTTGTTGATATAATTACGGAGTCCCTCACTCTGCTAAGGAAGAAGGTTTGGAGCATGTAGTTTCCTGTCTTTGATAAGTGCGAAGCTCTTGTTCCTGATTGCCCTGGCAGGCCAGCTCTTAGTCTTCACTTTATGGGTTATCAAACACTCTAGGCTGATTTTTAGGCAAAATGATTTTAAATGAACACAAAGTCTTCCCGTGAGGTCTTTGGAAAAATGGAGACGTATCAACATTATATATTCTCGGAGAAGATGCTGTAGACTAGTGTATCAGATAGTGAAATGTTTAACTTTCTTAAAAAGAAACCTTAACAAATGTAGTGTTTATTCTAAGTCATATTAATAAGTTTCAGGGATATCATTTAGTCCATATTTCTTACCATATTGTCAGTGATACTAATTCACATTTATTAAATTCTTCCCAATTATGCTTGTGTTTTAAGATTCTGTCTATATTTATTAAACACTTATTTTCTTTCTCAGTGATTTTCTAGTTAGCAGATTTAGTAACCTGTCTTTTGAAAACTCCTGAGAGCTTCTTTGGAACAGAATTGTAGGGAGAACTTGGTCTGCTGGTTCCTGTTGATTTGGTGTTTGAAATTCTGCATTTCTGTGGCTTTCCACTGTCTCCTCTGCGCTGGACATCCTGCTTGCACACTGGCCTGCACTGCCCTCTAGGGTGCTTGCTTTCAGCATGTGGATCCCTCTTCACTAGCAACCCCGAGTTGAGAGCCTGAGAGCCTGTCCATTGCTCCAGGTTTTGTTGGGAGTGGGGTGGGGGCAGTGTTGGGTAAGGAGGGGCCAGACATAAACTTGCAAGGTCCTTCATAGCACATACCCCAGGTAGTGGTCTGTTTACTCAGATGTGATCTGATGCCCCATTAGGCTTTCAGCTCCATGAGGGACTGCGTCTTGTGCATTTTGTACCTAATGCCTAACAGCAGGCCTGGCACAAAATAGTCGTTTGGTAAATGCTTTATTGAGTGAATGAACTGAGGTCCCTGACTTCCTGGAACCTAGTTTTTATTTACAAAGATAAGAAATGTTTACTGGAAAATACACTGTCGAAGAAAAAACAGTAGTTTTATCTTTCTTCTACTTACTATAAAGAAATGGGAGAGAGAAGGGAAGAGGGATTCTGTGCTTGTTACCTGCTGGAGTGAACTGCAGGACTCTGTGTTGCCCAGTCCCTGAGGTAGTGGAAGGCTGAGGGCAGGGCTCTACCCCTGTGAGCGTGAACGGGAAGGCTCTTCAGCTCAGCCACAGTTCCCAGTTTCCTTTTCGTCTTTCTTTAAGGTCTTGCAAAATTGCTATTTTTGCTTTGTTAGATATGTCTACTGTAATTAGACCCTCATTTTTGCAAATGTCTGTGTGATGCCAGTTTATAATAACATTAAAATTTTTCATTAGTAATGTGAGTCTGCATTACTAATTCTTCTGTGCCAGGCTCTATATTGAAAGTTTTGTATGTTGCTTAATTCTCACAACTATGAAGATGGTGTTGCTGTGGTCACCTCCATTTTATAGATGAAGAAACTGAGGCCAGGAGGTCAGTTAAATGTGCTACAAAAGCCACCAGCTGCTTGGTGATGAGTGCTTGATTCCATCCCAACTGTTCAACCTCTAGAGCCTTGCCATCGATTGACAACTTGGTCTACTTCTGGATGATATGAGATGTAGACAACATGCTCCAGCTTCCAACCCAGATATTGGAGAGAGTTCTGTGCAATCATTACCATTAAAATTTACTCTTGGATTTAAAATCCGTAATGGTGTTTAAGAGGGGCACTAGTTATTGGTTATTCATAAGAGTGGTATTTATGTTGGCATCTCTGTTCTCATTCAGTGTAACTTAAAAGTACACGTATTCATAGGTTTTCTTGTTCACTTAAAAGAGTTTGCGTATGTTCACTGAGTACCTAACACTGTGCTTTATTTTTAATCAGAGGTGAGTAAAAATTTCCTGAGTGGATTTATTCATTTGAAGTTCATGTATATTTTTGAGGTTAGAGGGGCAAGTTTAGTAAACTAATATTCAGGAAACCCCACTCTCTTCCTTGCTTGTCTTTCATTTTGGAGGGTTGGCTTTTGTTTCTGGGTGCTAGCATTCCTGTGAGCCCTGTGGGAGATGGGGATTTGTAGCTGCCCTTCACAGCTTCACACACAGGCCTCACACGTGCATCATACCTCTTCCATAGGTATCTCTGATTGACTGCTTCAATCTCATTGCCTGGGAAGTTAGGGGAGTCAAAATTTCCATTCCATGCCCCTAGTACTTCTCCTTATATGCATTGTACTTTTGTTTCAAATTAACAGAGGAAAAAGCTGAATAAAGAGTTTGTGTGATCTAAAGAGAATACCATTGTTTGAGATGGAAACTTAGATGTTGTGAACATTGATATGTGACCCGTGGTCACCTACTTTTGAAAATAACTTTGTGCTTATAGTATGGAAGTATGAAAAAAACAGGGATTTTTAGAACAAAAATTCTAATTATTACGTAACTTTCTTGTTGTAGTGGGCAGGCTTGGCTGAAATGAGAACTGCCGAAGCAAGGCAGATAGCTTGTGATGAACTGTTCACAAATGAAGAAGAGGAATATAGCCTCTATGAAGCTGTAAAATTTCTAATGCTAAACAGAGCCATTGAACTGTATGATGATAAAGAGAAAGGAAAGGAAGTACCATTTTTCTCTGTGCTCCTGTTTGCTCGGGACACATCGAATGACCCTGGACAGCTGTTGAGGAACCACCTAAACCAAGTGGGACATACTGGTGGCCTTGAACAGGTGAGTTGTACCTTTGGGAATATATTAACCCAAAATATAGCAGCTTTAATCACCAAACATCTCACAGCTTTTGTAGGTCAGGAATTCAGGAGCAGCCTAGATGGGTGGTTCTGGCTCAGAGTCTCATGAGGTTGCAGATGTGTGTTCAGGTCTGCAGTCATCTGAAGACTTGACCAGGGCTGGAGGATCTACTTCCCACACGGCCCACTCATGTAGCTGCAGGCAGAGGGACTCAGTTCCTCATTGGTAGTTAGTGGGAGGGTTCAGTTCCTGGCCACCCGGCCCTCTCCATAGGGCTGCTTGAATGTCCTCGCGACATGGCGCCTGGTGTCTCTGAGTGATCTAAGCAGAGAGCAAGAAGGCAGCCACAATATCTTTTATGATTTAATCTTGGAAGTCACACAGTGTCACACTGTGTTCTATTTGCTAGAAGCAAGTCACTAAATCCATTCCACTCTCAAGGAGGAGGGGATTTAGGCTCCACCTTTTCAAGTTGAGTGCCAAAGAATTGTGGACATATTTTACAATCAATCACCATTATCTCAGCTGGGGCTTTATTCTGCAGGGTGGTGGGTGGGATTAGTACCCTTGGCTTTACGAGGGTACAAATAAATGAAGCACTAGGAAGAGCCATTTGAAGGGTATTGTTTAATCTTGGCAACTGTAGCTGCATTAAAAATAGAAATGGAGTCACCTTAGTTAGTAGAGCCCAGCCTGCTCTTGCATCTTTTACAGATATGCTAGGTTTGGAGTTTTACACAGAGACCCAGTGCAGTGTTGTCCCTGAGCCAATAGTTGAGTCACCATACCTTACATTATCTTTGGTGTGTTCATTTCCCTAAAAAATCTTAATGAGTTTTTTTTCTTTTTAGTGGAATAGCCAACCACTAAAGTAGCATTAAGGCTGTCCATCAAAGTGCCACCCTCCTACTTATACAACTGACTCTCGTGCCTGCCATTTTTTGGAAAGGCCCAAGTGCCAGGACAGATGCTGCAAGGAATAGATAGCTAAATTGGGTTTCACTCTGCCCTATCCTGGATGGTGGAAGTGTTTTCCTTTATTATTCCCAGTGTGTAGGAAAGAGCAAAGACTAATAGTTACTGTTAGGTCAGGCAGGACTGATGATAGTTATTTAAAAAAATTATCTGTATGCATAATGTAGGTTACTTATGTCTCCTGAACCGTAGCAAATACCTTGCAGTAAAAAGCCTGGTAGAGCATGGTTTGCATATTAGACTGAAGCTAGTCCTTTTTGAGACCCTACAGGGTCTGCTGTAATGGTGAGTCCATTCTTTTTTCTTTTCTTTTTAGTAGCAGCTCTTTTGAAATATAATTTGTATAGCATATAAGTTCACCCTTTTAAAGTTTTGCAACCATCACTACAGTCTAATTTTAGACCATTTTAACACTCCCAAAAGAGCCTCCGTACCCATGAGCAGTCACTTTCCCTCCCCCCAGTCCTAGGCAGTTACTAATTTACTTTTTATCTCTATGGATTTGCCTATTCTGGAGATTTCATGTAAATGAAATCATATAGTATATAGTCTTTTGTGGGTGGCTTATTTTATTTAGCATAATGTTTTTAAGGTTCATCCATATTGCAGCATGTATCAGTACTTCATTCCTTTTTATTGAAAAGTAATATCCCATTGTGTGGATATATCACATTTTATTCATCTATTCTTCAGTTTGATGGGTATTTACACTATTTCCACTTTTTAGTTATTATGAATAAACTTGCTATGAATATTCATGTATAGTTTTTGTGTGTGGACATATGTTTTCAGTTCTTTTGGGTATATACCTAGGAGTAGAATTGCTAGATCATATGGTAGTTCTTTGTTTAACATTTTGAGGAACTTCCAAACTGTTAGAGCAGCTGTACCATTTTGCATTCCCATCAGCTATGTATCAGAGTCCCATTTCTCCACATCTTCTCCAACACTTCTTTCTTTTTTATTAACATGAAGTTCATATAACATAAAATTAACCATTTTAAAGTACACAACTCAGTGGCATTTGGTACATTTACAGTAAACCCCATTTGTATAAATTCAGTCCCAAAACATTTTTGTTACCCCAAAAGAAAACCCTGTACAGTCACTCCCCATTATTATCTTTTTGATTATAGCCATTCTGGTGGGCATGAAGTGGTATCTCATTGTGGTTTTTATTTGGATTTCTCTAATGACGTATGATGTTGAGCATCCCTTCATTTGCATATCTTCTTTGGAGAGCTGACTATTCAAATCCTTTGCCCAGTATTTAAGCTGGTGGGGTTTTTTTTATTGTTGAGTTGTAAGAGTTCTTTATATGTTTTGGATACAGGTCCCTCATCAGACAAATGATCCATTCTTGATTATCTGATTAATATAGTAAAGGATTAGGGCTGGGCCCAAAGGGGAGGAAAAAAGGTTGTGGCTTTGCCATTGTGCATTTTCTGGGATAATGGGTGGAGCATGGTGTTAAGCCACACCTTTCAGTATGGCCTCCCTCAGAACACCCATCTGCTCTTTTCTACCCAGGTTGAAATGTTCCTCCTTGCCTACGCGGTGCGCCACACCATCCAGGTGTACCGGCTCTCCAAGTACAACACCGAAGAGTTTGTTACAGTTTACCCCACCGACCCACCCAGGGACTGGCCAGTGGTCACCCTCATCGCCGAGGATGATCGGCACTATAACATCCCCGTCAGAGTGTGTGAGGAGACGAGTCTGTGAGAGACACGCACCTGGACAGCCTGGCGACGTGACCAAGGTGCACAGGCAGCTCCTGGGTTTGGGCCTCAGGCCTGTGGGTCTCCAGGAATAATCTGTGAGAACTCTTGGGCCCCTGGAAGCCAAGTGGGGCTGGGATGTTCTGAAGACTGGCTTTTGATAATAAGAATTAACCAAATCTCTTCTGTCCGTGATGCAATATGTTTCACTGGGGGCCTTCAGAGCACACCTCTTGGAAGGTGCAAACTGTATCTTCTCCATAAGACAAGTACTTTTGTATCACAGGAGACTTATCTTGGAGAGGAATGTGTTCTTTATATCTCAGATCAAAACTCTCTCTAATGGCAAACTGGCTTTTACTTTTTTTAAGACGGTAATCTTTTTTTTTTTTTTTGGTGGTAGTGGGTTTCTGTAGTAATCTTCCTATGCAGTCTGCTCAAGTGCTGTAATTCTGGGATGGATCTGTTAATGGCACAGTCATAACACCCTCTGATAGCCTCATCTTCTCCTCCTTATGGGGGGAAGAGCAATGGTTTGGATTTACATATTAATTAAGACAGTTTTAAGCAGATTGTCTTGCAGATTAAGAGTTGGGTCCAAAAGTGGGTTATTTCAAGGCATTTTTTGAAGGCTTTAGGAGCTGCAGGACAGTGGTGAGGGAACTTAGAACTTCTTGCTTCTCGTGACTGATAGGTCCAACGTCCCGAGCATACTGGAGTCTGGGGCTTGGCGCAGGTGGCACCCTGTCAGCGTGGGTGATCACTGCCTGCACTTGCACTCTGGTATCAGGAGCTGTTAATTATTCTGAAGTTCCATAGATTCATGATTTTACAGTCAGAACAGAGTTTATTTCACCGATGTTTTTAGAGGAGGAAACCAAGGCCCAATGATCTCAGTCACTGATCTAAGTTTAGAGGTGGGGCTGAGCTGGAGCCCGGTCTTCCTGTGCTCTTTTCATGCTGTGTTGGAGGGTGCATCCATTGCCAAATGTACCTCATTCATCTGGTGCAGGGGATGAGAAACAGCAAACTAAGATTTTTCAAGAGTAAGTTTAAGCGGAAACATGTAGTAATATGAGAGTGGCTGGGCTGTAGTAAATATTAGAGTGCCCTTGATTGGTTTGGAAGCTGAGGGAGGCTGCGTTCCTGGTCATGAGTCATCACCTGCTCCGCACAGGCTGGGGTGGTGACTGGGGAGGTGGGGAAGGGGCGGCTGCCTTAGGGCCTGAATTGTCCTCCAGGGGCGTGAACTAGAGACATCACTTGTTAGGATTCTATTGGCAGCACCTGGATTGGCTCAACATTTGTGGCAGTGTGTTTCCCTGAAGTACTGAGCTTTCTTTTATAATTAAAATCTTTATTTGGTCTAATTTAATGTGATTTATAAGTTATCTAATCTGTTTTTTGGAGGGGGCAAACTTTCTTTGAAAATGTAAGTTTTGCTTTTAACTAAAACTTAAGTCTTAGTTACGAAAACTCAGGACGCACAAAACTGTTCAGACTGTTACTTTAGTATTTTTCCCATTACCTCGTCAGTAATATTCACCACATTTTGCTAGATGTTAATTGATGAGAATGTTGGAATCAAATTCCGCTCTAAAGGTGTGTGAGTGCATTAGAGAGGCTTTGTTTTTCACTGTGAAATGCAGCGGTGCCTTGAATAAGCAGGTACCTAGAAGGCAAATTAATAATGATGACTTCTTATTGGCTTTGATGCTTCATTTTAGTATTTGTAACTGTGCAACAGGAAATGCGTATCATTTATTTTTGAACATTTTTAAAAATACAACTTGAAATGTTTAGATCATACATGGCAGTAGGGATCTGTTTCCCTTATGTATATTGAATCTGATCATTGGTTCATATGCATTATTGAATTTTAATAATACTCATTTATCTTTGCATTTGAAAATATCTAATCTTAGTGAACTTGAACTGGATTTTTGGTCAACTTAATTGTTTACATATTTTTTTCTTGATCCTATGTATGATATTGTTTGGGTGTGTGTATTTTATGTTGCTTTCTGTTCCAAGGCCTTGTCTCTCTGCTGTCAGACTATTGTCTAGTCTTAGTGGGATCATAGCATCAGAAAAGCAAAGCTTTTCAAAGAAACAGTAGTACTTCAGGACATAGAAATGTTTGGCCAACTTTATTTTTTTAGAGACAGACGCTTGCTCTGTTGTCCAGGCTGGAACTCCTGGGCTCCAGCAATCCTCCCGCCTCAGCCTCCCAAATAGCTAGGACTACAGGTGCACACCACCATACCTGGATAATGTTTTTTTTTTTGCTGAAGAGACAGGGTCTCACTATATTGCCCTGGCTGGAATTGGCCGACTTTGAAAATAACATTTCTTTGTTGCAGTATGCAGCTTCAGTTACCCAGAGTCTTAGTTCCATTTCTCATTCCTGGTCTTGAGCTGGTCGGGTGACATCAACAGGTTAGAAATTGAATTGAGATCAAAGTGGATTCAGGAGGATGATCCGTCTAGAGGGATATGGTGTTCTAGAAGAAAGAAAGGTAGATAGTGGGAACTACACTATGCTCACTTTCTGTCCCAGAATTTATTGCAAGAGTTCAAAGGTTTTGGACCCCATGATATTGACAGAAAAATTATCTCCTCCTTAAGCAGCCATGATTTAAACCTGTGAGCTCATTTAAGGTGCATTTAAACCTAAAAGAATTTCCTTGTGTCATGTTCCATGGAATTAACATTAATGTTTTCCAGAACATTTTCAGAGTCCCCTCCTCACCTCCTGAGCTACTTCTGTATGCACAGCATCAGTTTATTTCACTGATACACGTGAACAATGATGGCGGCTTTGGAGAATAAGAAGCCAGTAGTGTATGGTCTCTAATATATGACTTGGGCACACGGGATTGAATCCGAAATGTTTGCAGTTCCTCTTCCTTAGAATAGGGTATACATGAAAATGTTTTAAATGGACAGAACAGGATTAATCCTATTTTCTTTATATAGCCATTTGCAGTTTTATTACACTATTATATATTCAGTTAATATCTAGTAACATTTTTCTTTGGTTAAGGAGGACATTGCCTTTGTATCCTTTCATTTTTTTTTTTCCCCCTCCACTTTTAGAGCTTATCATACAATCTCAGGCCACATGAATTGCTAACACGTTTGTTGGAAGAAACATTTGTGGGTTTTTGTGTGCTCGGCCTTTTCTTTGTGTGTGTAAGATGCTCTGTGTTACCATCCTGTCCTCCTGATCGCCTGCCCCATGCCCTGAGGTGCTATTTTGCTTGAGTTAGTAGTCGACTTTTTGAAGATCTTCCAATGACTGAAGTGCTATATCACCTTTAATGATAAAGCACTCCTACCATCTCAGTGTATACATAGGACTTATATAGACTTCCTGGGTGGGTCTTCTTTTGATATTAAAATATAGTTTGATCATTTTCCTATCTCTTTTTTCTTAATGCTTGGCAGGTGCTCCCCTCTGAAATTCAGAAAGTACTTTCAGAAGCACAGACTATCAGGAAATCTTACTTGTGGGTATGCATAAAAATAAATACCTTTATGTAAGATCTATGACTACTTAAAAAATAAAACGAAAGGCCTCAGTGGATGTGGAGTGAATCTGAAATGTCTGAAGCACATAGAGTTCCCAAATAGTTTAGCAAAGGTAGGCACAATATCAAGTAATTTAAAAATGGTCCAAGGAACTATAAGTGAACTGAAGAAGGAACTGATTTAGAATAAATTCAAAATGCCATTTAAAAACAGAACAGATGCCAGACAGACCTTCTGTGCTTAAGTTAGAAAAGGATACAAATATGAATAAATAGAAGGACTTATGTGCATGTATTCTGCAAATTCCTATTTCTAAAATTTAAGTCCCCTATTTAACAGAAGTATACTATTTAATGCTTAACTATTTTGGGAAACCTTGTTTGTGATGTCTTCTAAGGGCGTGGAGAAACCAGGGTAGCCAATGCTGAGTTAAGCAGTGGTTTAGTGAATGTGTGAATAAAGACACAGGCAACTGATTGTTAATGTTCTTGTAATTCAGTTTATACCTTGGAGCCATAAAAAGCACAAAGCTAAACTGGGTTGGCTGCCTGCTACCCTTGGCTTTTCTGGAAGTCAGTAGCAGTAGGGGCGAGGCGGGCTTGGCCATGACCAGGAAGGGAGTGTGTGCGTGTGCGTGTGCATGCCCACATGTGCGCGAGCGTGCACACGCATGCGTGTTGGTCTGCAGTCACAGCATGCCTTTCTTTATGTGCACGTGGCCCCACAGCTTGGGATCCAGCAGTATTCTGGGACGGTGGAGGCGAGCTGTCCCATTCGAGTGCATTTTTTTCACAGTAAACTGAAATTTATTACTGGGAATGGTGGAGTGGGCTAGTATGTGTAATTAAAATATATAGGGTGGCCATTAAGTCTAGAAAAATTAATTATATTGAAATGTCATACCAATCCATTTATGATGTATATCTGTTTCCAGACTTTATGGCCACCTATTTATTTAAGCATTTTGAATGCTCATTAATAGCATTCAGTAGCATTAGTGGAAGAGGACACTGATTGGTGTTTTACCTCAGTTAATCTCGTTGATTTCTTAATTAGAAGTTTGGGTCAGAAATGAAGTTGCCAAAACATGGGTCAATACAAGGAAGGGACAATGGGGCTCACAGTAGCCACAGTCTTGGAAGTAGTTTTCCCAGTAACCGGAAGTGGTTTGAGCTTAATTTTGAACTTCAGAATAATTTTTTGTACTTAATTTTAGGAGCTTTCATGTATACATTGAAAAATGCCTTTATCTTTATTCACATAAATGGTGCTAAAAATGTGGTACCCCTACTAGGAACCTCAGCAGTCCACAGTGATGTTGGTTACTTCTGAATATGGGAACAAAGCCAAAATGAATGTACTCAATAAGCCTCCTTCTCATTTCCATTGTTTTTATAAAAATTTTTTGGTGTTGTTACCTGCATTTTATCAACTTTAACTTTTTATATTATGAATTTGGAGAGGATAACAGCCCAATTTTAGAACTTCTGTCAGTGGTGATAGTGTTTTTCTTCCCTAGGGGGTAGCACGCTGTGTGAATCTGGCCGGCTCATCTTGGCTTGTTTAGCAGTGTCTCCTCTGTTTACACTGTAAGACGTTCAGCATGTGTCAAAAATTTTGCTCGTTCTGAAAAACATGCCCCTGGGGCTCTGGGCAGTTTGGGGCCTTGCTTCCCACCTGCAGATGCAGCCAGACGACTGGCTCATGGGGCGGGCATTTCCTCTGTCACTTGCTGAGTCTCTTGTCTTCACTGTCAGAGGCTGAACTGACTCTGGGACTATGCTGTTGACCCCCTTTTGCAAATCCAGCCGCTGAGGATTGTAAAAGTAAATAACT